GAAAGCAGATAGGATTTTCCAGCTAACAGTGACTGACAAATGAAGGCAATCAGATTTTCTGGGATCCCCTTCCAGCCAAAGCCTGACCTTGAGAACCTCCTCAAAGCAGCTGCTACATCTGTGTGTTCCAGGTGCAACTGTTCCAGCAATAGAGGAATTATCAGTACACTGTTTAAAGAAATGCAAGGGCTCAGACTAATCTCGAAACAGAACTTAAATAGGCTGAAACACTGCCATTTCTGAGCAGCTTTATTAAAAAAATGCACAGATTGTTAACTCTCCTGCAACTCTGACCTTGAAGACAAAACTCATTCCAAGTTCATTTACCTCTCCCTTTCCCATTGACTAAATACACTTACGTGGTGTGTTGTGAAATTATAAATTCTTTGGGGCACAATCTCAGTTTCTCTAAATTCTGGAAGTAAATTCTTACTCTGTAAAATCAACAAGGTTACAAAGTATTCAAACTGATTGTACTTACCCTGTCTGAAATGAAGTATAGCATTTATTATAAAAGCATGGTGTTTTCATTGTTTGGGGTTTTTTTGCTGCAACTGAGAGCTCTGCCACTGATCTGTGGAGTTACTTTAAACATCTCCCTTCACTGAGACTGCTGTTCTTTGGTGAGAGAACCCCTTCTTACCCTGTCAGGCAGGGGCCACCCTGATCCAAGTTTCACTCTTTAAACATAGCTATCATGCAAGTCACTGATCCTTCAGGAACATGGAAAGACTCAAGCTGCAGATACACAGTACTTTTCCTTAATCTGTTCTGACTCATCACTTCTTCAGTGCAAGCAGTGGAATATGGAAATTCAGTCCCAACACAAGGACCTGAAGGACTTCATAAATCTGAGCAACATATTTCACAAGGATATTAGTGAAAATTAAATGCATTATTGCAAGAATTTTCTGCCAGGGAATAAAAGCAAGTGCAGAGCCCCTATACATGGGGGCAGGGAAGGGGGTGTGGAAAGGGAAAAGTGTACACTACAGCCTCAGAGAATAAAATTCATCTCAATGAATAGAGAAGGATATACACATCCATAAAGTAATTTCTTTCTCACCATGATATCAGTTTTTTTAAGCTAATAATTACGTTGATGAGCTAATTCCATTACCGCCTATCACAGTAATTAATATTGCCTGACTGTCACTTTCCAGTGCTCTCTACCATCTACACACTGCCTTCCATTTTGTTGATTGATGGCTCTTTGGGTCAGGGACTGTCTTAGGGTTACATTTGTGCTAAGTGTCTGTGGTTCAGGATGAGGCAGTATGGGAATAGGCTTGTTCTGCCTGACTCTCCATGGGGTTCAGTGCTGAGGTTCACCAGCATCCTGTGCTTCCTTCTCCTGCAAAATAATCAGAAAACCTTCTTGTGCAAGAGGAGCTATGCAAGGACTAGGCATCACTTAGTAACAGTTACTCATAACCACACTCATTCCTTTTGAGCCACACAAAAAATGCAAAGACAGAGCACAGTGTGCCCTACAAAGACCAAAGTAACTAGCCCTGACCAGATATTTGGCCGCTTACTTCATCATTTTTTGATAAGCAATATTGCTATATATAAAATGAAAAAGATTCTTACAAATCATATTTATGAACACCTTTTACAAGCAAGAGTTCCAGATTTTGAGAGAAAGAGAGAAATAAAAACTGACAAAAACTGACACAACTGGAGTTTTGATTTAAATAGGATGACTTACTCAGCAAATGCTCTAAGAAAGAAAGACTTCTTAGGTACTGCAACCATTTAAAATGCAATCAAGACATAAAAATATTGGTTTGAAAAGTGTCTTAGTGATAAGTAAAGAAATATAAGTGCTAACCAGTATATAGGGAAATAGATTGGAGGGAAAAAAGGAAAGCAAAGAGAAGACGGAGCAGAGAGGGACACCCGAGGTCCTGCAAGCTGAGTTTGTTGTTCTCATTGAATTAGAAGGAAAGAAATAAAAAGGCCCAAGCCCTCTCCTGCAGCAGCAGCTGCTGACACCTTGATGTCCAGTATCAAGGGCAGATGAAAAAGGCAACAGCATCAGAGCAGTTTTGCCATCTACTTTTCCAAAGTCAGCTCTCCTGGAGCCCTTCTGAACCCTCTGAAAGGTTTTGTTCATGTTCCCAACTGCAGTAGACATACATTTACATTGTCTGAATGATGTGTCCTTCCTGCATGTTCCCACTTGGCCAGCTGACCGTGAAAAGATACTCAGCAACGAAGCTATTCACTGCAACAAGATGCTTTGCTTGAGAAATTCCAAAGCAGAGATATGATCTGAAATTGTGCACCCACCTTAAAACAGAGACTTAACTGTCAGACTGGAGTCAGGTTACCTGTACTACAGAAAAGTAGTCTAATATATATACATTATTTGCATTATGCATATATAAGTTTACACACCTTCCTACATCCACAAGCAGCACGTGGGTTTTATGCCACTTCTGTTCCATGTATGGCTTATTGGGCTGGATTTTTAACCAAACACCATTTGCTTAAAAAAGTAAAGGATGAGTCATCAAACAGAAGTATTTGCTCACATCCAAAAACACGATTCAGCTTTGTTCATGAGAATTAGCAGAAAGAGAAATTTGGGGAATCAAACAGCTGAAATTCCTGACATTAACAACTGACCTGTGAGCTGCCAACCAGAGTTCACAGAGTAGCTCAGCATATGGCTTCAAAACACTGATAGCCATTTTACATTAACAAAACAGACCAACAAACCCTTTTCATCGTAGGAAAAGCAGAACACCGGGAAAACTAGGATGTCTCCTCAAATGGAGATTTCTTTAACATCAGGCTTATCGATCAGGTTCAGAGGACCTTGTTTTTGGCCAGGAGCATCATAGACCTCTTGAGGTTCCTTCCGTTCCTGAGAACCACTCATAAGTAGTTCAATTCTCTCATCTGCTTGGGTGTCTCACTTTATTATAGATATATATTATTCAGACTTTTGAAACTGCATTAGCCTGATTTCTGAAGTATTGATAGTCCTATTTTACCTTGAATGAAAGGACCCCAATTTCACCATGTGGAAACAATGAGGGAGGGAATTCATCCAGGTAGTATAACAGAATTTCTGCATATTTCCAAGTGGGGCCTGTAAGGTTTTTGTAACAGCAGACAGGTGCTAGACCAGTCAGTCCTTAACTAACAGGCAACTAGTCTTTCCTTCATGATGTCAGCTTCACAAGAGATGAAGGGGAGGGTGTGCACACAAAGGGGAAAACATTGGGTTTTCTACCAGTTTAGATCAATTCTCTCCATATGTTAAACACAGTGAAAAAACCCCTCTGTTTCAATACCGTAAATAAACCAAACAACCATCAAACCAATGTTTTGGATTCTGCAAGATCCCTCATAAGTGTGACACAAAAATGAACATAGGATTTCCAGCATATAAAGTTGAAGATCCCCATCCTTCCCAGACTAGGTTTTTCCATTTAGCATGAATGTTCACGTTCCCATCTATTCTTTTTCACCCTTCTCTAAGGTCCCTTTCACCCAATCATTTTAGCATATTGATAATGACAGCCAAGTCATGGAATGGAAATAGAAGGCAGCTGGTAAAATAATCCTGGACATCATCCGGATGCAAGTGAAGCATGCGTATCTAATTCATTAAGGGAGCAGGAGAATTAGGGTGGTGCTGAGCATCTATTCTGTCTAATTTTGCATTCCAGTAATTTACTCTCTCAATAGACAGGATGGGAGGTGCAACATAATTATAGGTCAGAATCTGAAACGTCTGGCATATCTGAAGACTCATTAGTTTGGTGGCAGTTGGCTGGGGGGTGCACGGCAAGAGAGATGAGCAAACTTTGTGCTCGCTATACCCAATATGCTTCAGTAATAAACTGTGTGTGGGACTAGTGGAGTTCTCCTTGGGGATCAAAAACACTGCCTCTATATAGAAAATGACTTTTCAAGAGCCTTGAGAGCAGAAACTTTAAAGGATGCTTCACAAGGTGAGTCCATTTTGTATCAGATAAAACAGCTGCTTTAAAACATGAATGGAAGATATATGATCCTACGTTTCTTTTCAGAGTGAACAGCACTGCTGAAAATGCAAATCCCTGTTCCCAGCAAGCCTCTTTTCTTGCACAGCTACTCAAACAGTTGTAATGATTCACTGACCAAACTTTACTCTGAACGAACGTCCAACCGTAGCAAATCCACAGGCCCTGCAGTTCTGACATGCGTTCAGCCTGAGCAAGCAATGTGCACGGGCTACCTGCATCTCTGAACCACCACTCTGAAATACACTTTTTTCACAAAAGCTCCTGGGAAAAAGAAGTATCAGAAAACATCTGCCCCCTGACCTCTAGGTTTCAAAATAAATTTTTCAAGAGGTCTGAAAATAAATCAGCAATTGAGCAATCTGAGAATTTGAAAAGATGTTCCCATTGCTTCACAACACTAAAAACAAGCCTTTTAGCATGTCTCCCTCTCCAGCTCACATTTCACCTCGAAGTCACATCAAATTTTATTTCTTTGATCAAGAAGTAAATGTGTGAAAAGATACATAATAGGAACCCCCATTAATATGTTTCTCAAAGAAAAATTGACATCTTGATACCATATTGATTTAGTTTACTGGACACCACTGGCTATTGCAGATGCAGTGTTATACTTAGAGAGAGGGAAGCTGACTCATTAAAAATGACAGAAGTCACAGTACCTAGCCATTTAGATAAATTTAGGATGTACAAACACACAGACCTTTTAACTGCATTTCAATTTAATTAGCTTAGGGCTGGCAGCCAGATGGACAGTACTAGAGACAGACACTCTCAGTTAAATCATACAGCAAACAGAGCATCAGGAACATGTCATCACTGTCCATTGGATCTACTATCTGCGGGAGTCAGACTGGCTGCATTCAGACTGTAGCCCCCAGCAACATAATGAAGAGAAGTGACTGTTACCTTTGGTCCTGCAATACATTTAAGGGCCTGCTGGAACTGAATCAAGACATTTGAAGAGGTAAAACCCACCTGGCAGATGAAACCAGTGGATGAGCACTGCCGAACCCAGAGACTGAATTTCCTCTTTTTCCTCTTGCGCAACTCCCTCTCTGTGCAGGTAGCAATGAAAACAGGATCCTCATCAATGAGGGGCTCATGTAGTACCTGCAATTGACAAGAAAAGAGATGGGGAAAAAAACAGAAGAATACACAACTGCAGAAAAAAAAAGGTGCTTTAACTTCTTTCAAGGAAATACAACCCTTGCGCTGTGCTTGTGCACATCACCCCATACAAAGAAGCAAAACCAAAGCCTAGCCAAGCACACTCCATTGTGGATAGCTGCTCTACATGTGGTTTGCAAACACTGCAAGGCATGACTCTCACTTCTTCCTATCAGCTACAGATCAACATGCCTCCAAAATGATGGGAGGGATGGGGCAAGGAAAATGGATTGTTAACAGCATCCTTCTCCAAGTTTCATCATAAGCTTCATCTTGTTTGGCAGAATGTCTTCCACCCAAACATCCCCTAAAATATATTGTAAAGTACATTCCTTGGTTACAGTAAAGGAAAATACACATCAAAGAGAGGAAGAAGTTAAGGGAGAAAAAGATATTTTCTGCTGCCACTTAAGGAGGTGGTGCTCTCCTGGTGGCAACAGCTTCAGGAAAGTCTCTCTTCCCTCAGGAGCTGAAAAATTTGACAAAAGGAGACAAAGATAAAGCACCAGAGGCAGGAATAGAAAAAGACGAGGCAGACTGGAGCAAGTAGCAATTTGCATTCTGCATCCAGATGATACAAGTGGTTCCCTGATCCTTCCAACTGTTTTGTTACACTTCATTAATTCAGTAGCAAAACTGTTAGGTTTTACACTGTGGAACTCACCTATAGAAAATTACTAGTACCTCCTTGCAGCTCCTCACAGCTGTTCATAACATACACAAACCTCACTGCATGGCATGCGAGTTGTCTAGCAAGTCACTTTTGAAAAGGCAAAGCCTTGCAAACTGTTGAAAGATCTCAACTGATGAATGCTGACCAAATTCAGAAATCTACATCTAAATTAGAGCAAGTAACTTCAGGCTCCCCTCCTAATACAAGAGGGGAAAGCAGTCCCAGCAGGCCATAGTTCATACCCTTGTAAAGGGGTGTAAATTAAGTCAGATGGATTATATATATCCACATATATATATATATATATATATATATATAAAGAAGCCCGTTCTTTTCCAGTGACCATCCCTCCAGGAGACAGGCTCAGAGGCTCTCACCCCCAGATCAATCCTTTCCATGCCTGCATGTGTGCTGCTTTTGTGCGCATCTGTGCACAGTGGCGGAAATGAGAACAAAGCTGCATTAAACCTGCGAAATGCTTTCAGGAGAGATGTGAAGGGTAAGCAGTTAAGCAGCAGTGATGAGCAGCTGCTGGCCTCCTGAATACAAGATGTTTGTTGAACATCATTGTCAACCCAAAATAGGCACCCGTGCCCTCCCCACGAAGTGATGGCTGCACACTGTCATTTACACGCACTGCACTTCTTAACGACTCATAAAACATTCACAGGACCATCTGAAAGCACTCTTGTGAAATGTTCAAATTATACCACACAAAGCTATTTGTTTTCATAGCTGCAGCTGCCCTGCTTCCCCACTGGAGCCAAATCTTCTTCTTCTCTCAAGGTCCACACATAACACAGCCCTTCCCTTCTAAAGGCCACCTGGGGCATTTCCCACATCCACCTCAGAGGATTCTGATGGCATTTTGCAAATATTAAACATGCCCTCATCTGCATTTTTGCCTTTCTGCCTCTCTGGTGCACATCCCTTGGGATGGGGTTGGATACACATTTAAGAATTTCTCACTTCTGGAAATGCCTTCTACCTGCCAGATCCCACTGAGTGGTGTTCCACTAATCTCCCCTGCTGTAGGATGGAGAGTAGCATAAAGAAAAGGCTGTGTAAGCATCACTTTTACCCTCAGTCTAGCTTCTCTCCCTCAACTGCACCACAGTATCAACTCTCTTCACAGCAGCTCTACTGCATCCTGCTTACCCTTCACACTCTTTCTGCCTTCTATGACACAGTAAGGCCTGTCAGCCTTAAATTTAAAAAGCAAATCTGAATTTTTAAAACCTCTCCCCATCTTCTTCTTCTCCCTGCCCATGCTCAGCCCTGCCTTCCTCTAGGACCCAGAGCTTCCCCTCCTTTGTTTCCCTGTACTGAACATTTAAGTCTTTTCTCCATAAGAAGACTAATGCTCCACCGAAGCCTCTACTGAATGGCTGTGAAGAGGGAACAAAAATGTAAACAGAGCAGGGCAAGATTTGCTGTTGCTGCAAAGAAGGAATGTGGACAGGCAAGGAAAATGAAATGAAAACCCTGAAGCTTGCTCTTCCTGCTTCCGTTAGAGAGGGTGGGGAGACAAGTGTTGTCACCTCTCCATACGCAGCCACTGCTTCAACAATTGTAAAGAACTTTGCAAGCAGAGTGCTCTATGGGCTGAGCCTGCTGGTGGAACAGCTGATCCCCATCTTGTTTTCAAAGGGAGCAATTTGTTCCTTCTGGCACTGACATGGTTTTATTAAGACAAAAGTTAGCCCTGTTGCCACTGGCCAGTACTATTAGTTTGTTCACTCTCCTGCATTCTCAGTCTCCTTGCTCCTCCTGTAATCTCAAATCCATGTATTTGCCAAATCCCCATGCAAAGTGATATTTGCTCCTTCCCTATTCCCCTTTCTTGCTGAAATATACACTTTTACAGGAGTGAGCTTACTGCCCCCATGGCATATTCTTTCCTGCTTCTCATCTTGATAAAAATCTACATTCAGGCTTAATTGACTCCTACACATATTCCTGGCCGCCTCTTCACCATCTTTGACTCACTCCCCAAGCCCTCCCCTCTTCCTGACTTCCTCTGATGCCAGAAAATCTTGTGGATTTCTTCATACAAATCATTCCCATTTTCTTCTCTTAAATTCCCAGTTCTGTTTAGGTCTAAGAAGCTCCTCATCCAGTTGCTTTGCTTTCCCACAGCTATCACACTGGGTTTCTCATTTTTTTTCCTCTACTTTATGGTCATCCTCATCCCTGCTAGATTTACTTGCTAAACTTTCACTCTTTGTTTTCTCCTTAATATGTACATACACTCCAAGTGACAGAGAGGCAAGACTCCAAGATGAGACTCCAGCAATTGCTCCACCTCGCAACATCTTTCATTCACAGAACAAAACAGAGAGCCACTGTCAGGGGTGCCTTTCTTCTCTATTTTAGATAATTTCCAACTCTCTTGCCATGCCAAAGTTCCACCCATCTTGCTCTCACCACAGCCCAAACAGGCTTGTAGACAAAGCCCCAGGACCACTAAGCCTTGTACTTGGAATTCCTCCACTCCTTTTACTTAGATAATGAACCAACGTGTCCTTGAGATAGCTCATCCTCTCCTTAGCTCCATGGCCATCCACAGCTCAGCCCGTCTCCTGGAAAAACTGCCTCAGCTTGCCTTGTCTCTGGCTTTTGGTGGGTACCATCCAGCTGCAAACAGTCCTCTGGGTAACTGCACCTGTATGCACAGTCAGTCACTACTTCTGCAGTAGTAGCTTGTGCTTCTACTTCTTTGCTCCAAAGCTCCTCCTGTCTAAACTAAATTCTCTTGCTGGTATCTGACATCTCTGCTTGCACATCTAGCTATCAGTTCTGATTTCATTATGCTACATTTGAGAGCATCTCCCTCCCTTAAGAACCCCCTTACTATCTCCTTTTTTGGTCATTGCTGACATCCCTCTCTTCCTGCTGCAGATCTCACTGGCCAGTGAACCTGAATGTCACTCTTTACCTCCTACTCCTTGCAAAGTCTTCTCAGCCAGGCAATGCCTACATTTTCCATTCTTTCTGAGTAAGAGCTCTAAAATGTTAATCATTTTAGAGTAACAACTCACCCACCCAGCCAACTTTACATCCAAGCCCACAACCACACTGCAACAGCTTTAGTTTTGGCCTCCAGCTAAAGCAATGCTGCCCTAGAGACTGCTGCTGGAAAGCCATTTTCCTAGGCCATCACTCTGACCACATCATTTTTCTTTAATTCGCTCTGATAGTTCTCCTCCAATATATCACAAAGATTCTTTCTCTTCTCACTTTCAAAGTCTTGATTGACCTATCCACATTTTATGGATCCTCTTTGCCCTCATTCAAAGGTTAACTTCCACCTCCAATGGAGCCATGATTACATGCTCCTCTGACCATTTGTTCAGTCTTCAATCAACGCTTTTAAAAAACAAAAACTCAGTTTTTACAGCACTCCATTACCATTAGGTAATTTAAAAATAGCAATAAATTTTCATCATTTTCTGTTGCCAAACTCTCCCTAAAATCTGGCTTCACCAAAGGATCAACTGGCTAAGAGCTACAGAACAACAGAAATTTACCTTCCTGTTCAATATTCTTATTGCTCCTCGGTCTGTCTTTCTGTTGCTCCACATCTTGTGCCTGGCGTTCTCTGAATATTTATGTATCTGTGTCATAATCACAAAAGCCCTGAGACAGAACGGTCCTGGTTTGGAACCAGCACCCTCAACTCCTACAGAATCATTTTGAAAACAAAAAATCTGAAATATAGAGGTAGGACATGAGCAGGATCTTATAATTTGGAAATGCTCAATGCCAAATGAACTTTTATGTGTGAGGACACAAAAGCAAGTTGATCAGCCTGTTTTTCCCCCTTTATGTTTTCAAAGAAGCTGTCATCCAATCTGTGAGCTTGTTTGGAAGAAATATGTTGAAATTGCTTTACCCTATGATACCACCTAGAGTGAAACACAAACAAGCTGCCTAGTAATAAGCCAAAGTACAGCACCATGCCCTTGGAGCAAGAGGTTCAGTTCACCTCACTTTCACTCCAGCTAGAGACAGGAACTTAAGCCAAAGTTTCCAGCTGACATTTCACTGGGCAGATGCAAAACTCTTTGGTTCCAAGACATCAAAGAGAAGGTACTTTGGAGGGATAGGGAAGGAGAGAGTACCTGGAGCTGTGCTCCTGACCCCTCCCACACCAGTCAGGGGTAGCCAAAGACAGAAATCCTATCTAGTCACATCCTGGTGTCAAGCATATAAATACTCAGCAGGCACAGAAGGATATTTGAGCAGCGATGTTATTTTCCCTGAACTCCTCTGGTTTCTAGAATTCAGTGTACATCCTTGGCAGGCGAGTACCCTTGAATTTGGTGCAGCATACCTCCTGAGCGCAGGCAGGGCATCTTCCCTGCCTTCAGGCTTGCAGACAGCAGCAGCACAGCTACCAAGCTAAGCAGCGAAGAAACAACACTGATTACACGAACAGACCCAAAACTCCACCTCTTGTTGCTCAGGTAGAGGTAGCACTTATTTATACAGAAGATGTTGAGGAAGGATAAGATGCAGAGAATATTCCTGTCATTTTTTATCCAATCTAGGTCAGAACACCATTTTTTAACTTCAGAAACTGAAGCTAGCACTGCTGATACACAATTATAATGTTCTGGGCTTTCAATTCTTTCATAAGCTGTAGTGTAATTATTTTCTTTTGTTTGCTCAGTATATTTAGCAAAATAATTATAATTCACTAGATTGTTTTCTTTGTTTTGGTATATTGGCATAGTTCTCTCTCTCCCTGTTTCTTTTCATAGCAACAGTGGTGTTATTTTTACAGGCACATTTTGGGGAGGGGGGGAGGGGTCACAGATGAGAAAAATACCCCGTAAGCATTTTCTGACAGAAATTCCACTTGAAGAATCTTTTCTAGCTCTCCAAAAAAAGATCAAATCTATAGAAGAAACAACTGTGAAGGCAGATGTTGCACTGCCTCTGAATGCAGATTGTCTCTGCTCTGTCCATAGGGGTGAGTTAAACATGGTATCTTCCTAACTTCTGTGAGTCCACACTGCCAGAGGAAGAAGGTCAGTAACAAGTCTACGTACAAGCCCAAATAGCCCTGCTGCATTCAACAGCAAGGAACACAAGTCATTCTGCTGCTTGATGCTGCTTACAAGATGATAGCATAAAGCTTGAATGCAAGCCACCCAGGTACCAAAAGTTTCATGTTTAAGATACAGGTGTACTTTAAGCAACAATTCCATTTTGAACTTGGGATTTTGGGTATCTCTGATTACAGAAAGCTGGGCTCCTCTTTCCAAACTGCTTTCAGAAGCAGCACATCCGAAAGCCCATCTAAATGGCTCTTTCCCCTCATCTTTTCCATTTGTTTCTGTGCAACTGGGTTATTATTTTTAATTATTTCTATTATTTCTCACTGGACCTGACATTCTGGGTTTTATGTTTACTGCAGTCTGCTAATCTGCACTCAAGACAATTTGCAGGGAGAGGTCTTTCCTGCTGTTCTAAGCAGATGGGGTCCTCATCTCTTGAGATAGGTAGTGTGCAACCCTGATTGATGGCACCCAGGAGGATGTTATGCAGAAGGCTCCTTTCAGGAGGAGGCCTGGAACATCCGCCAGTAGGCTACTGGAGGTACACTAGGGTATTTTTAACAACAGATTCAAACCCTTATTCTTTCTCACAGGGTTATTTTTGAAGCTGTATTTTACTGCTTTTTGTTCCACTCAATACCACTGAAACATGCTGCACAGAATTCACTGACGTAAACACTGACACGGGAGCAGAGAAGTGGAAGGGGAAGTAAGAGAACTGGCCGTCTCTACTTCTTCCCCCATATTTTTTAAGCAGCATCTCCTTACGAAGCTCAGGACAAACATACATTTTGCTTGTGGAGATTTAGATACTTTGCCACTGCAAACAGGATGCTGTGATTTTGTCAATTCAGTTCTCAAACCTGCTCAGGACAGGGAATGGGAGAAAGGATATACATGCAAATCAAATTTATCCTTTAATGGATTTTCACTCACAGCATGTCCCGCAGCACACCATTATAAGCATTTACATTAGACACAGTGATCACATTTCTGAAGCCTTTATCTTCTGCCCACTGAAGTCAGCAGCCATAAAGATTAGATTTCATACCTTAATGAGAGCTCAGTCCCAACAATACCGTGTCTCTCACTCTCTGTTTTGTCTTAATGGAAACGTACCTTGCTGGCATGGCTTAGTGAGAACACCCGCTCCTCCCCTCTCCACCTTAACAGCTTTTTAGGCAGCTGTGTTCTCATGAGTTATACAGGTTTGATTTTTATTGTCTATAAAATAAGCTGTAATCACTCCCCATTTATTTTAGGCACACTTTAATGGATGTGATGCATCTACGGCTTCATTAATTTTGTGCAGTGGGCAAAAATGTGATGCTTCAGAAGGGAAACAGGAAGAAAAAGAGGACCATGGGCATAATACCCTTCCCAAATGTCTAAGTGAAATATTTATATTCTGAAAACAGAGAGTTGATTGAGAAGTTATTTCAAGCAGTAATATATTTCATGCTTATTCCATTTTCTTTTCAGACTTCTGAACACGACCAGTAGCAACAGCTCCAAAAGCAGATCACTTATACTGGAACAAAGTTTAAACAGTGTATGATAAATATTAAGAAAAGATTTTCACCGCTCCCTCCGCTTATCTTCCCTTTCTCAATTGTGAGGAGGTGGCTCTGCTACTGTAACATACAGCAAGCACCTTCTGCTAAGGTCAGGGACAGTCATTCCTTGCAAACTCAGCTCCTCCATCCAATCCTCAGCCTGTAGCAGAAGCAGCTACCAGCTTTCCTTCCAGCCCAGCTGCATCAGCTCTGCCCTTTCCACTCTCTCTCACAGGCAAAGCCTGCACCCTCCCATCCTCAGGATAGCAAAACATAGCGGTGCCAGCCTCATTGAGAAGTCTCCAGGCATGTTTAGGCCACTAAAGCAAACAGCTCCAGCTCAGAGAGCACTATTCCCACTGAAACATGCTTGGTGCATGCACTGCAGTCAGACACTGATGAGCACTTGCACAGGACAGTGCTGCTTTCTCTCTTGTTTCATGGCAGCACCACAGCCTGGCTTCACATTGTGAAGCCCCAGCTCTTCTTCAAGCAGTGATGCTCTGCACTATCCATCATAGTGAGACAACCAAGACCGCACAGATTGGATGTTCCCTGCCAACAGGTTAACTCTTACCTGGGCTTGTGAAGGTCTAAAAGCAGAGTCAAAGCCATTCTGCAGAGAGTCCAGAAAAGGCTGGATTTTGTAGAGGCCATGCGTTGTCTGGCTCGAGCGGAAGGCCACAATGTGGAAGTATTTCAGGATCTTCTCAAACCGTGATTGTGTCATGATAAGCGCAATGCTCTTGTTGCTGTAGAAGCCGCTGCTCCAGATACTGAGAACAGACTCACAGTGGTGGATGCTGGTTGATATCATGTAGCCTAAGAAGGCCTTCATTTCTGTCAAGGTGACGTCAATCCAGGCATCGTCACTACCAAACCTCTCCTGGTACTTCTTGGCATACATGTTGGTTTGGACCACCATATTCTTTAGTACATTGTCAGGGACAAAGAGCTGAAAGAAGTCCATGGCACTGGCAGTCAGGGGCATTTTTCGTGTTGGACCTAGAATAAAAGCAAGAAGGGAAGATAGGCACACTCCTGATCACCACAAGGCATGTCTAACACCAGAAATTTAAAGCATGATTAACTTCCCTAGAGCAAAAAAACAAGGCCAAAGTGATGGCATGGACTCACTGTCTGACAAACTTCACCAGGAAACTTCCCCCCATATTCTGTGTCTTCCTCTTATATGATACAACACAGTCCGAAAAGTTTCTTCCTCTGCTCTGCACACTTATTAGTTTATAGCATGCAGGTCTTTTGGGCAGCATGCATTTAATTTCTCCACTTATACACTACCTGCACCTTTTATCCTCAGCAGCTTTTTTTGCATAGTCTTTTATTTGTCCATATCGTTGTCAAAGCAGTGCCTTCCTCAAAATGTCCCAGAAGGACAGTGCCTGAGTCCTCCAGAGAGAGTGCTGCCCTCATCCCATATGACATGATTCCTAGGCACTAGAACCTGATACCACCTTTTCTCTTGCAGCTCTAATCCCTGCCCAGTTCATTTTCATTAATTCTGTGACTCTCAAATCTGCCTCTGCTCCACACAGAGTCACACAGGTCACATCTATGTGTTTCTGAGTTCTGTGTCTCTGCCACCACACTGGAACCTTATCCTGCACTCTGATACTCCCAAGAGAGCACATTACCAGAACAAGTCACAGCTACCATGTGGCTAGTGTTGCTGTCCCACGTCACAGGGAATATTTTTAGCAGTACAATGCATATATACTGTGGTCCTCTTCCTCCCATAATGTAATAAGCCTTGCAGTCCCACGCTATCATTACTCCAGCTTTTCACTGATCTTGCACATTCTCTGCCTGTTTCAACTATTCCATAAAAGGAGGGGTAAAAAAAAAAAAGGGGAGGCTCTAAGGATTGGCAGCACTGTATCAGTGTAACGAGGTTAGCCAGTCAGACACCAGATTACATTAAGCCAAATTAGGAACATTGAGCCTGCAATACCAGGGACACAGACACCAGTCCTTACAACCCTCTCTCCTCTAATCCCTCGCATAAATTAATTAAACTCCATTTCAAAAGTGGTAGTTTATGCTTCCACCTCATGGCAGTGTCTTAGTCACCAGGTAAGGGCAGGGGACATTCTCTATTCTCCTAGAGAAGCAGTGAAAACCAATACACCTGAGAAGAGCAGCATGGACAAACCCAATGGACAGGGTACTACTTAAGAGTAGTTTCACCTCCCTGTGAAAAAGATAGTGACAAGCGTATAATCCCAAACCAAGAGTTGGACAAATAAATACTGCACCTTAGTTCAGCAGCCTTCAGCCTTGGGACTGTCTGAAAAACACCTTCCTGATCAAAAGCAGGAGGCACACAGCTTCTCACTTGAAGTTCTGCCTAACAAGAGCGAGTCTTCCTTGCACTACGTGGTTGCTTGGATCTCAGCATCAGCTCTCCCCCTGGATCAGAGCATGGGATTTGCCATTCTACAATCTGGCTCTCCAAAGATCCACTACCATGTCAGTCAGGTCTCATTCTCCAGTACTCCTGTGTCTCAGCTCACATTCTTAGTTACAGCAACAACTATAGCTTGCAGAAATTTTCCATGAAACTACACAAATACTGTGGTTGGACTTGCTCTTAAGCCTTAATGTTTGGGGGCACTCTGGTGAACTCAAGCTATTAGAAGGATGGAAAGATAGCATCAAGACATTGAACAGTAAACCTTCAGATTGCAAAGAATGCCAAAAAAGCAAACAAAAGTGGATTTTTTTCACAGGCTGTAAAAAATGGTGAAAAAAATATCTATTTAAAGATTACTTTCCAATTTTAATTAGTGAGATTGAGAAAATGGAAATGAAACACTTCAGCTGAAACCACATTCCTCTACATAGCAAGACCAGAGTAAAGAGCCCCACACAAACCATGTTTCAGTAAGGACAGAGAAGAAAATTTCAGTTTAAATGATAGAAGGTTTTCATTAACAAGTGAAAACTATGAGGCTAGAGTAGATATACTAACTTAACCTCAACTGCTAGTGCAATAATAAGGCCTCTTAACAAAAAGTTCTCTTATTCTGATAAGGAGATTTATATTCCGCTAGCACCCACTTGAGTATTACAGCTGACATAAAATGCTCTACAAATGATTCTGTATGAACAACTTATAGCACCTCACTTCCTTCTTCCCCACAACTTAATCAGGTTTTTATATTCTACAGTAGTAATGGCTTTCTGATAACAACACAAAGCAGAGAGTGTATTCCTAGTTATGGAATCCTGAGTAGCTATTGAATTCAACTCCAGTGCTCAGGCAACTTTCCAGGTAGAGCGCAGAGATAGTTTTTAAATTCCTGCCTTCAGAAGCAGAAGCTGGGAGTGGGGGTAACATTTTAAATCTTGTCTACAGCAAACAGGAATTCATAAAGCATTAAGTCTTATGAAGTGAAATATGCTGGTCTTGAGACATGTGGATATGGACAATAGGTACATGCTGGACTCCATCTTTAGGGAGACAAGAGCAGTCAGAAGCACAAAAAAGTAGTTTGGTGTAGTTAAATTTTCAGTAGCTGCACAAGTTTATCTTGATAAGTGAGTATGGAAAACTGCCAGGTATACTGGATAGGACAATCCTTTCTTACCCAGCAGTCCTGCTCCAGCCACATAGAATCTGCTACCTTCTCTCCTTCCTGAAATAAATATGCAGGCTTGGTGTCTCACTGGTCATGCAGAACACACACAGCTCTAAAAAAGCAAGCTGAATAACTTTCTGACTCAAACGTCAATCTAATTGTTGATTAAATAAAATTATGAAAGTCCCTGTATAATCTCATTGTCTTAAAAAACAGCCTTTATTGGCAATGTGAGTACAACTGATTCATAATTTACTGATATGCATATAACAAGAATGACACCAAATTTCAGTAGGAAAAGAACTGAATTTTAACATGAATTGGGTTATGCATAGTTAATGACCAGCCTAAAATAAATTATTTAAATATGACTTTCTATCTAAGTACACATATATATCCCATATAGAGAGCCAACTGTCTGCACAAGAAACTTAAATAGCAAATTTGCACTTTTTAAGGATTTTTACATCGACTTAAATGACACTTACCCAGAAAATACTGACATTATAAGAGTTCAGTGTTCCATACATGCACTGTTTACTTTTCAAAGCTTACTCAGTCAAATGAAAGAGTGGCTTTGCCTAGTTGTCTGTTGTCAGAATAATTATACAATTACAACTGTACATAAAATTCAGATTTTTCTCTCTCCTCTGCCATAAAGGGTGTGCATGGAGAATATATTTACTTACACAGGGTTTTTTGCTCTAAAAGCCAATCAGGGTTTTCAATATAAGTTATAGAGTCAGAGAGAAAAAGCACTCTTGGAGTGTCCAAACATGCAGCTAGACGCAGTATTCTGTGCACACTCAGGACAGGGTCAGAGCTCCACTGAGTAACCTCTGACTGGGCAGCACACACGGCAGCACTACCACTTTGGGCTTGCTTTATGCGACCTTGTAGAACATGGAAAATAACAAACAACTTCTGCTATGATACAATGTACAAACTCAAGCTCTTCTTCCTTCTCATCCTGTCTGCCAGCAAAAAGTTGCATGCGAAATCCGCAGCAACCAGCTTGCAAGTCATTACTGCTACTGTAACTAGTTGGTTCCATCTTCTATTTTGCACTCGGAATGTCTCCTTCAGGGCCACAGCTATTTCAAATTGTAAGAATAGACTCTAAATAAATGAAAAAAACTAAACAGGAAAAGCTATTTTTGTTTCCATATTGGAGATATGACTGTGAAGCAGAGGCTGGCACCTCACCCTCTGGCTGTGTGCATTGCAGAGCCCATTTTGGTTCAACTCAGCTCAGGGCAAACTGCAGCATCCTTGCTGGGTCCAATGCCTAGCAAGAGAGCAGGCTGCATGCTCAACTTCTCAGCAAACAAAGACATTGAGGAAAATCAGAAAGATTTAAGAAAAAGTTCAGATGAAACTTCCATATGACAATCCTTCAGGCAGCCCCTCCATGTCCTCCTACAATCTCTGCTTTCTCTCTTGAGTGGGTCCCCACCAGTCACATTCTTCCCCCCACTTCAATCCCACCAGTGTTTCTAGTCTTCCTCATGGAGCAACACGTTACAGAAAAAATAAGAACTCCAAGTGAATTAACTGGTTTTTTCTTACTTAGCTGGTTTGCAGAACTAAGTGCATTTTTAAGAATTTAATGTAACCTTTTTCACTTTTTCTGTTCTGATTTCCAACCTGTAATTTAGTAGCTCAGAGTTCACAGACTCAGAATAAAGGATGGATAAAAGATGGAAAGATATCAGTGCTTACAACATAGCATATAATTCTTAAGGAGGTCAAGAGCATTGTCATTTTGGGCAAGATAAATCAGATTTGTAAGAAGATAACACAGTGAAAGAAAATTCTCCTTTTGCTCTGTTGTGCAAAAAACTCTGTTCTTACTCAAAATGTAGTGGAAGTTCATGATAAAATATCCCATTATGTTGATAGGCCCAGGTATTACCTTACAAATGATAATCCAAATTGCATGACTTGGAAACAAACCTTGTGCAGAGCTAATCAGGGCTGACTTTGAAATTAATGTAACTTCATTTGCAACTTGGCAGACCCCAATACTCCCAAATCAGGCACGAGAGTGGGTAGAAGCATCAGTTTGAGAATCTAAAAGTAATTTTATTGCCTTCTTTGAGGAAAAATCTAAAAATTTATAGTCACCCATGAGGATAGCACATTTAAGTATATTAAACACAGATACCTATCTAAGAAAAATTGATGCAGAAACTGTTATTTTTTGGCCATAGCGAAGTACTTTCTCCTCCAACATATGGCACAGCTTTCAAAGACCAAAAGACAATTAATTTCTCCTTCCTAAGTCCAGATAATTAGAGACTGTTTCATATTCCTGAGAAGTTACCTTTGCAAAAGTACAATAGGATTTTTGGGTCTTATTTAGAGAACATTAAAAAGTGCTGACAGAAGACTTCCGTCAGA